TCTGGGTGAGTCCCCGGGGGGGGCGGGGCAGCGGCCCTCTTCCCCCTCCCCCCTCCTTCCTGGGCCGTTGTGTTTGCGGAGAGCCTTCTCTCAGAGGGTCTGTCTTTCTCTCGGCCGCAGAGAACGCCAAGGGGGAGACCCTGGAGCTCTTCCACTCCGTCCACAGCTGGCTGATGGTCCTCTACGAGAGAGACTGCCGGCGGCGTTTCGCTCCGGAAGACCACTGGCTGCGCAAGTAAGCGCCCTTCCCCTGCCGGGTGCCCTCCTCGTGGGCTGGTGCTCCCTGGCCCACCGGTCATTTGCTGACAGCCAGGCCCGTCTCTGGGCCTCCGGCTGACTTTGCTGTGTTCTCTGTGTGTGTGTCTGTCTTGTGTCTGTCTTGTCTTGTTTAGGGACCTCAAGCCCAACTTGTTGTTCCAGGAGCTCGACAAAGACCGGAAACGGGCCCAGCTGGTCTTGCAGTACATCCCCCACGTCGTCCCCCACAAAAATGTGAGTGGACGCTGAGCCCAGGGCAGGGGGCGACCGGTCAGGGCTGACCGGTGGGAAAGTCCTGACCCTGAAACAGACACCCTCCGATCCAGACGCGGTTCAGAGGAGGGAGGCCCCCCGCGGCCCTTGGGAGGAGGGCTCTGCCTGTGGCTAATCCCCCTTCCTTCCCCCCCCCCCCCGAAACTTTAGCGGGTCCTTCTCTTCCGGAATATGGTCACCAAAGAGAAAGAGCAGCTGGGCCTGGTGGAGACCAGCTCTGCCTCTCCCCACGTCACCCACATCACCATCCGTCGGTCCCGCATGCTGGAGGTGAGAGGGGTTGACTGGTGGGTTGGCAGCCCTCGAGCCCCCTTCCCCTCCTGACCCCGGGGACCCATCTTGACCCCCCCCCACCTCCCAGGATGGCTACGAGCAGCTGCGGCAGCTCTCCCAGAACGCCATGAAGGGGGTCATCCGGGTGAAGTTTGTGAACGACCTGGGCATGGACGAAGCGGGCATCGACCAGGACGGCGTCTTCAAGGAGTTCCTGGAGGAGATCATCAAGAAGGTCTTCGACCCGGCCCTCAACCTCTTCAAGGTATCCGCTCCAGGGCTGCAACCCGGGGGCCCCTCCGGGGGGCTCCGTGTCCAGCCTCTCAGCTCCCCCGCTCTCTTCCGGCACAGACCACCAGCGGGGACGAGAGGCTGTACCCCTCCCCCACCGCTTACATCCACGAGAACTTCCTGCAGCTCTTTGAGTTTGTGGGCAAGATGCTGGGGAAAGCTGTCTACGAGGTAGGCCGGTTGGAGCACAGACCCCACGGGCCAAACGGGGGAGGGGGGGGCCTGTGAAGAAGGGCACGCAGGCTGTCTTGGACCCGGGGAGGGGGGAGATGCTCTGCAGTTCTCCCTCCCTCCCTCCTCCCTCCCTCCCATCTTCTAGGGAGGGGTCCTGGGTGCTGTCTGAGCTGGCTTGTTTCCTTGGGCAAACGCCGCCGTCAGTGCTGGGAGGGGCGGGTGGGGCTGCCTAGTTGGGCAATGGCTCCTTTCAACCGGGCGCTCCAGATAATCCTCCTTTCTAGGGGATCGTGGTGGACGTCCCCTTTGCCTCTTTCTTCCTGAGCCAGTTGCTCGGCCATCATCACAGCATCTTCTACAGCTCGGTGGACGAGCTTCCCTCCTTGGATTCGGAGTTCTATAAGAACCTGACCTCCATCAAGGTTCCCTCCCGACTCTTGGGGCGTGTCCCTGTGGGCCCCGGGCTGCACCCGGCAGAGCCCCTTGTGGTCCCTCAGCGCACACCTGGCGGGGCGCAATAAGGGACCCACGGGAGGGGTATTGGGCTGCGCTGGGGGGATTGCAAGTAGAAGGGCGGCCTTTCTTCCCTGGGTTATTTGGAGACCACGGCGGCCTGGCTGTCGGGCAAGTCCCGGTGAACCCTTTCCCTGCAACTCCTTAGCGACGCAGCTGCTTTCTCCCCCTCCTGCAGCGCTACGAAGGGGATACCAGTGACTTGGGCCTCACCCTCTCCTACGATGAAGACGTGATGGGCCAGGTAGGGTGGGAGGCCCCTCGGGCGGCCCCTGCTTTTCAGGGGTCACCGGCCGCTTGCGTGCCCCATCCCCGTTTCTGCAGTAAAGGCCGGTTTCTTCCCGTCTTCCTTTCCCTCCTCTGCCCTCCCAGCTTGTGTGCCATGAACTCGTCCCCGGCGGGAAGACCATCCCCGTGACCAACGAGAACAAGTAAGTCTCACCTCGCTGGCCTCCCCCAGCCCAATGGGGTCCGGCCGCTGCCTTCGCTTGTTTTAACTTTGCTCCCCCCAAAGAGCTCCTGCCCCAAGGGGCCTTTCGGGAAGCGCCTTTCTGGGGAGACGGGCGGTGAGGCTGGGGCTCAGCTCTCCGCCCCGTTGGCTTCCTCTCCCTGGCCAGGATCAGCTACATCCACCTGATGGCCCACTTCCGCATGCACACCCAGATCAAGAACCAGACAGCCGCCTTCATCGGTGGCTTCCGGTCCATCATCAAGCCCGAGTGGATCCGCGTCTTCTCCGCACCCGAGTTGCAGCGGTTGATCTCCGGCGACAACGCAGAGATCGACCTGGAGGACTTGAAGTGAGGGCCGGGCTGGGCCCAAACCCTGGAGCGACCCTCCGGCTGGCCGGCCTGCCTGCCTGCCTGGAAGCCCCCCCCTACTGAGGCAGGCCAGGAGGGGCTCTGGGTCACGTCCAGTCCCAGCAGGAGGGGGGAATTGCAACAGGCGCCTCCGGCCCTTTCAGGAGGGGGGGGGGAGCGGGAGGCCGGGGATCCTTCCCCGCCTGACCTCTTGGGTTCCCTCTTGGTTGCCTGTCTAGGAAACACACCGTCTACTACGGGGGCTTCCATGGCAGCCACAGGGTCATCCTCTGGCTCTGGGACATCCTTGCCAACGATTTCAGCCCTGAGGAAAGAGCCATGTTTCTCAAGGTGAGGGTGACTCCGCGTGCCCGTGGGCAGCGAGCAGGGAGGGTTCCAGTCCCGGGGGGAACCAAGGCCTGGCCTTCCCAAAGTCCTCAGGCTAAGCTCTCACCCCGGTGGGGTTACTCCTCCTCCTCCTCCTCTCCAGAGACAGGGCTGGGCCCGGCTCTCCGACTGCCCTTCTTGTCTCTCTTGTCTGCCAGTTTGTTACCAGTTGCTCCCGGCCGCCACTCCTGGGCTTCGTCTACCTCAAGCCTCCCTTCTCCATCCGGTGCGTGGAAGTGTCGGATGACCAGGTGTGTGGCAGGGACGGTGCCTCCCCAGGCAAAAGGCAGCACGCTGGTGTTCTGTGGGGCAGAGCCAGAGCCCCCGGGCACCCTCGGCCTGGGGGAGGAAGGGTCGCCGGCATTCCTGGGGGGTCATAGGGGGAGCCCGGCTGGTCTGCTTGGGGGGTTGGGGTTCAGGGTCTTTGGCTGGCGAGGTCCCCCCTTACTTCTGCCTGCCTCCTTCAGGACACGGGAGACACCCTGGGCAGCGTCCTGCGGGGGTTCTTCACCATCCGGAAGAAGGAGCCGGGGGGGCGCCTGCCCACCTCCTCCACCTGCTTCAACCTCCTGAAGCTGCCCAACTACAGCAAGAAGAGCGTCCTGAGGGAGAAGCTGCGCTACGCCATCAGCATGAACACGGGCTTCGAGCTCTCGTAGCAGCCCCGGCAGGAGAGAAGGGCCCAGTTGGCCAGGCAAGCCTTGGCGAGCAAGGTGGGCCCGAAGCCAGGTAGAAAAGGAGCTGCCTCCAGCACCACTTGGCTCCTCTGAGACCGCCGCCGGCCTGCCATTAAACGTAGCCTTGCCTGCAAACCTTGTGCAGTTACCCGTTGCGGGCAGGGGGTCGCTGGAGGTTGTGCCACGTGGAGGGCTGGGCAGGAGGTCCCTCGTGTTAAGAGCCCCCCCCCCCCCCCCGGCTGCTGTGTCCTGGTCAAACATCCCAACTGCCCTGGGCCAAACTCTTCCAGGGCTCCTTGGGAGAAGCCACCTGGGCCGAGTTCTGCCTGCTGAATGCGGGGCCCAGCCTGCTCAGAGCGGGTGAGGTGAGTTTGCAGCCACAAAGCCTGTCCCGCCTGGAGCCTGCAAGGCTGCCTTTACCTCTTGACCCGAAAGCGGGAGTCCTTGTTCGGCCCAGCTTTGTTAACTTGAACTGCTGGCCAAACCGGTTTGGCTTTTCTCCAAGGGCCGCCAGGCTCTTCCCTGGCAAGGAACGCGACTGGGATCCACCGGTCATCCGTTGGTGACCAAGACCCAGGGAAGGTGACTCCAGTGCGAAGCGAGAGAGCTGCCGGGGGCGCCAAGGGCCCTTTGAATGGCCTCCCTGCAGGAAGGCCTGGCGCAGAAGGGGCTCGGGGGCACTTGGGCCGAGGGGAGAAGTGGTGGTCGGTGGGGTCTTTAAGCCCATAAGCAGAGGGGAGGGGGAACCTGCTGGGCAGGCCAGGGCAGTCCTGTGCCAGTTCTCTCAGGGACTTTGCTCTTTGGAAGTTTCCTTTGGCTCCTTGGGGAAGGCACCCCCCCGCGGGGGGTTTTTGGGGCCCCCCCCCCCCCCCCCCCAAAGTTGGCAGATTTAAGACTTGTGGACTTCAGCTCCCAGAATTCCCCAGCCATTGTGCCAGGCTTGTCAACTTTGGAGGGCCCTGGTGTAGATGGAAGCGGGCATTTGCACCCGCCGTCTGTTGCTCTGGGGCAGGGGGTTCTGCCCTCCTTTTGAAGTCTCCCAAACCCCATGGAATGAACTCGGAGCCTGTGGAGGTCCCGCCGTCTGTGGATCTGGCTGCACTCCCACTCCTCTTCCCTAGGAGTGCGTGCGTGCGCGTGCGTGTATGTACAGATTTTGAACAAACACAAGAGGCTGATCAAGGGAGGCTACCCGGCGTTTTCCTACCTTGTAAAACAAATCGGATGAATCTGTCCGTCGGAAAACATCTTTCGCTCCCAGTCCAGCTCTATTAAGTGGCGGTTTTCCACAGGGCTCTGCAGCTCAGGGTATCCAGGGCCCGATTATGGTCCTGCTCCCAGGTAGCTGCGCTGCTTGTCTGCTTATTTTAGGAAGACAGATTACAAACCTCAAGCGAGTCGCCCTTTTGCACAAATGTTGTGAAATATGAAGAAAGAAGAGTTGGTTTGTAACAAACTAAAAACAGTGCAAGGTATTTTGAGAATGTTGCTTTTATTTAAGTCCGGTTCTTTTCCATTTCAGAACATAGCTACTGCCATGAAATAACCCCACCCCCCAATTAAAGGCTGGGCCCAGACAGGTTCATTTAAGCACGGAGCTATCCTGGATGCTGGTTCACCCCCCTTCCTTCCTGATTTTCCCTTAGGGATTATACGATGTTGACCTGTGGCCGCCTCCGGCCTCCCAGAGAACTGTTTCAAATTGCCCTCTTGGGGGGAAGGGGTGCAACCTCCCCACACTTCTGGTGCCCTCCTCTGGAATCCAGGAGCGGCCAGTCCCAACAAGCCTGGCAGCGGCGCACATGACTTCCCACAACCTTCAGGGTGCAAACTGGGGCTTTGCAATGCCCAGACCCCTCCCTCGTGCATTGCGCCACCGTTGCTCAGGTCTGGGTGTTCATGTCCCTTGGAGGCCCTTCAAGAGGAGCCTTGGAAGCTCTCGGTTTTCTTCTCTCTCCCAAAACCAATAAATATTTTGCTGTTTGATCACTTAGTATTTTTTTTAGTTATGGCACATTCTTCACACTGGAAATTCATGAATACAAGAAATAAAAGTTGAAAAATTGGTTGAATGCTGCGGTCACTTTTCTTTTTTTAAAATGGATGACTGGGAAAAAGAGAAGCCAGTGAAAGAGCTTACTGGCAAGGCTCGATTCTGGACCATTGGCCCAAAAGGCCCGTCTCTCAAAAGCTGCACTTTGCAAGATCGTTGACAAGACGTCCTGATGGACGTGGCCGAGGGAAGAAATCTAGGTCCATTTTTGTCTTGAGCTTCAAAGGAAACTGGCAGGCAACCTCCTGCTTAACTGGAGCCAAGGGGACTGAACTCAATCTCCTGCCTCCATTCCCTCCAGTGTTGCAAGAAGCCACAGAGGCATCTTCAGGCGTCACAGTTGCTCTGAATTCACATATATACAAGCTGGACTCCCAACAAAGCAGCCAGGAATCTGAATTTTTGTAGGCGTCTATTGGCTTTTCGGGTAGGGATCTGAGCGTTTCAAATTGCCGGGATTTTACGCTTTGTTTTGCCTTCTATTAGTTCAAAAGTTGTTCGTTGCACAACATGCATTCAGGAGTTTAGTTTTTGGGCTCCATCCTTCTGTAGATTTGCTCCTTCTTCCCTTCCTGCTTTGCAGCAAAGCGGGCCAAGACGAACAGGTAGTCACTCAGCCTGGAGACCAGGAAGAAAAGAGTCACCCTCCCTCTCTTGACAGCAGAGCTAGAGAGAGATCCCCAGTCACAGCTGGGAGTCGCATCTGGGCGTAGGGGAGAGAATTGCCAGGCCTGATCTGTGTGACCCACACATGTACTCAGCTCCCTTTGCCAAAGTCTCTGCCACATATGGCATAAAGCTACATTGATCCTCCCTGTTGTTAGACTGCAGTTATGGCTGGCAACATTTGTCTGCCTGCTTAAACACATAAATCCAAGTTACCTGTTTAAATACTTGGCCACATTTGCACCTGCTTCTCCTGTTTTCACCAAAGGAACGACACTGTGAAGGCATAAGGAGACAGAGGCCCAAACCTCACGATGACACAAAGCAAATGAAGTTTACAAAAGGGAAACCATCCTGACCAGGAATCCATGTTGCCACAACTCTCTGCCTGCCCTACCTCAAGCCCAGGTGTCTTAACGGATGGGCTTTATGCCTGGATAGCAACCACTTAGGTGACAGCTTCCCCGTCTCTCCCTTGGCTGTATCAGCAACTCTTAAACCCACAAAGCCAGCCGGGGTCTCCTGTAGCACCTTTTACATCCTTTCCATGCACAGGAGCATTTATTCTAAAACCCGCCTCCAGGTTCTTGCCAACCGAAGAACAGACCCTGGCCCTTACCACCTCTCGGCTCTGCGACACACGGCTCGGGAGAGATGGAGCGCAGCGCTGCTTTTTCCACCAGACTGAAACAACACAAGCACAAGACACACAAAAGTAGAGTCGCTTGGCCCAAGATCATAAGGGTTAGGGGCTCACTAAAGAAGACCCCTCTGGCTGCCTTTTTTTTTTTTAATGTAGGATGCCAAGGCATAGATTTGTGATCCTGGCAGGGAAAAACTCTCCAGGGTTTCTAGAGGCCCAAGTCCAGTGGTTCTGTCCTGACACCAGGACCGAGGGCCCAAAACATGGAAGAGCACATAAAGAACTTACTGGCAGAATGAAGGAGGCGAGCGGTGGGAGCTGATCTGAGTATTTGTCTATCCAGCTTTCCAACTCCAGCACGGGCTTCTCACTGAAGGATGTTCGCTCTGAAGAGGAGGAGGAGGAGGAGGCCAGTCCCACGAGATAAAGGCCTTGGCAAAGCCTCAAGCCCCTTGGAACGTGCCCAGAGCGTTTCCCCCTCTCCCACAGAAGGATTTATCTGCCAAGCAGGACTCCAAAGGGTCAAATCCACAAGCAGGCTCCCCTCATGCAGGGAACCTTTGAATTTCAACGAAGGAAAACGCAATCGGTGAAACAGCCACAGCAGAAGTTGTCTGGCTTTCAACTCTCTTTGCAGAAAGCAAAGGCAAGGCAACTTGTTTGGAAAGCACATTCCTTGCCAACCTTCAGCTTCTTAGAGAAGTCCTACTTACTCATGTGAGACTCCCTGGCTGAAGAGACGGGCGTTGCCACATTAGAGCCGGCATCTTGCAGCATACACTGGACCTGCGGTGGGGAAGACAGAGATCACCCGCAAGGGAGTCAGGCCTCTGTTTTAATCCGGTGCTTGGCCCAGATACGAAAGAGCGACTTCAACTTATTTCTCACCTTGTGGAGTTCTTCCACAAACGTGTGGCCGCTTTCACTGCCAAATTCAGCACTTAAGCTTCAGCAAAACAGAACAGAGTCTCCAGTTGATAGATACTCCCTCTCCTCTGATAATATGCAGTAACTATGAAAGCAGTTTAAATCTATGGGGCTGTCCCATTTCTCCCCTAAGTCTCCCTTGAGCTGCTGTTCCTTTTGGATGTTAATGTTGTTTTGCAGGATTTGGGCTTCTAATCCAAAGGTAACTTTTCCCTGCCCCTGGCTAAAGTGCCAAGGCCCAACTGCTGACAGGCAGCCAAGAACACTTGAGGAGAATAGGGGGAGGTGGCACCTTCATCGGAAATACTTTGGCACCAAGGCTGAAAAGAATCCGATTAATCCAATTACCCGACAGCCGAACTCAGCTCGTCCAGGGTCCCCAAAGCCTCGAAGACCTGGTCATCTTTGGCTCTCCTCTCCCCGGTGAAGGTGCTGGAAAACCCTTGAAAGGCCACAAGAGAGAGGCAATGGGGGCTCGGCCGAGCAAGGGAGGCCCGAAGGGTGACGGCCACGCGGGCCTCCTGGAGGGGCTACCTTGGTCTCCCGTCCGGGTGTAGATCCTGGGGGCTCCGGGGCTTTTCCCGGGCTTGGAATCCGGACTGCAGAAGAGGGAAGACGGGGCGGGGGGAGAAGGGAGCCGCATGAAGGCAACCAAGGCCGCCTCCATCTCCGGGGAGAAGAGCCTCGGCTCCTTTGGGGGGTCCCGCAAAACCCTTGGGGCCCCCCCCCCCCCCCCACCCCCCCCCCGGGGCCCAACCCAGCCCTGCTGCGGACCCTCCCGGGGCATTTTGCTGCAATCCGGCCACGGCCCCCACGCACGTCCTCACCCGGGAGGGTCGGGCCCCGGTTCCCGGCAAGAGGCGCGGCTCCTGGCCCCGCCGCCACTCGCCACCCGCGCCAGGAGGAAGCGCCCGCGCCGCCAGCCCGTGCCAGCCATGCCCAGGGACGAGGGCGAAACGCCCCACCAAGTTTGTCCCTTCCCGGCGGCCGTCGCAGCCCCCGCCGGCTCCCGATTGGGCGGGGCGCTGCGCGGAGTGACCAATCGGGGGAAGGAAAGGCGGCGCCCGCATCGGCCGATTGGGCGGAGGTGGAGCGCCGGCCACGCCCTTTCGGACTGTTCGGATCTCCTGGAGCGGCTGCTGGGACAGGTGAGCATCTCTCCCGCCGGCCCAGCATGCATTGCGCGGAGAAGGGTCCAGGCCTCGGGCCTCAGGGGGTCGGGGAGGGCGGCGGGGGGCCGGGGAGCTTCTCCCCCACCTCGGACGGACGGCGCCTTTCCCTCGGCAGGGAGGCGATGTGGACGCGGAGCCTGGTGCTCTCCGCCCCGGGGAAGGTGATCCTGCACGGCGAGCATGCGGTGGTGCACGGGAAGGTGAGGGCTTCGCGCCCCCGAAGGCCGGGCTCCGTGCTGGGAGGGAGGGAGGCCCTTCCCCTCCTTCTCTGCGTCGCCCTTTAAGCGACCGATCCCCGCGCGGCCGGGCTCTCCTCTGGGACGCAGGTGGCCCTGGCGACGGCGCTGAACCTGCGGACTTTCCTCCGGATGACCCCGCGGCAGGACGGGCGCGTCTCCCTGCAGCTGCCGAACCTGGGGAGCAGGCGGAGCTGGGAAGCGGCTGAGCTCCGGCCCCTACTGGCGGCCGTCGCCTCCGGTAGGCACCGGGCGCCTTTGTGGGGTCCCACCTTCCTGCCTTTTCCCCTCTCGCCCCTCGGGGGAGCCGCTCGGCTGCTGTGGACGTGGGTGTCGCAGCCCCACAAGCAGCAACAGGCCGCGTCTCCTCCTCCTCCTCGATGTTTCGCTTTCTTTGCGGGGCTCCAAAAATCAGCTTTGCCTGAAAAGCTCCCGGGTGGCGGCCCCAGAGACCCCCGCACAGGGTCAGGTTTCCCGAGGCTCCCGGGCTCAGCTGTTTCCCCAGAACCTCCGGTAGCCTTTCCCTTGCGGTCCAAATTGTATCCCTCTAATTCTGCCCCCAGAGAAACTGATCTGGGACTTCTTGACGGTGTGATGCTGATGCATGTGGAACTCATTAGAAAGGGCTCTCGCCTCCCTCCCTGGGTACAGAAGGTGATGCCGGCTGCTGCTGTGTTCTCTCCTCAGTTGAACTGCCTGAAGCGCAGCCGCCCAGCGCCGAGCAAGTGGAGAAGCTGAAAGAGTTTGCAGGGGGCGATAACGGACAGGAAGCAGTCCAGAGCGTAGCTGCCGCCGCCTTTCTTTATTTGTACTTATCTGTGGCATCCAAATGCGGGTAAGACGATGGGTCTCACCTTTGCTGGGTGGCTTTTTCGCTCCTGGCAGACAGGATTGCCCAAACCCGCCTTCCCAATTTCCAGAGGAAGAATTTGGAGGCGCTGATGGAGATTGTGGAGCAATCCTGCCCTCCTCTGGGAATGCCAGGAGCGGTTAGCAAATGCGTAGATGACTGCAGTACAAGATAGACGGATAGAGATAGAGAAAGAATGGGGTACAGCAAAGGAAGGTGGATGACGAAAGACAACAGAGGAAAAATAGATGCCTATTACATGAATTTAAAATCAGGATTGTGGGATTATTATCTGCAGAAAATAACTCCTTCATAAGCCATGAAATCAGGGTGTAGATTATATCTATTTTTTTAAAAAAAAATTGGGAAACTAGGAGTGGGCAACACTTCTTACAGATTACTTGTTTCTAAGGCACCACATCTAGAAAAACTAGAGGAGAAAATGAGCAAAGGAAAGACCGGTTTTGTGGTCTTACTCGTTCTGTAAGCCTGTTGTGACTCATCATGAAAGCAAAGAAAATTCCGCTCAGTGTGAGGAAAGCAGTGAGTTAAATTGCAAAACTTAATATTCGCAGTGTTCTTCTCTTTCAGGGTTATGCCAGCTGTTGACATCTTGGTCTGGTCTGAGCTGCCCACCGGTGCTGGGTTAGGCTCCAGCGCAGCGTACTCGGTCTGCCTGGCAGGGGCCTTGCTTTCTGGATGTGGTGCCATCAGCTATCCTCTGCAGGAGGGCCAAGAAGTAGCTAGGTAGGAACTGGGAAAGAGAGGAGTTGGGAGATGGTTTCCACCTGTCCAGGTAGAACTGGGCATGTATCAGGGCAGCTTTTTGCCACCTTAAAGCCCTTCATTTGGGATCTTGTAAGATCGCAGTTCTAGGGACCCAGGTGCTTTGATCCCCCTGTCCGGTTTAAAGGACCAGAAGCAGCAGGTCAAAGGAGGACCAGGAGGGCTGCTGAAAGGCGGACAGGCTGAGCTCAACCAAGCCTCTTCTGCTCTTAAACAGGTGGACCAAGGAGGAACTGGATGTGATCAACAGGTTAGCCTTCAAAGGAGAGCAAGTGATCCATGGGAATCCTTCTGGAGTGGACAACGCTGTGAGCACATGGGGTTAGTCCTCTTGTTCCTCCTTTTGCCTTTCTGAATTAGCTCAGGGGCAGCGAGGAGCCTTTGGCCTCTTAGGCACTGAACGGAGCTGGGAACCGCATTCGATGTGGCTTATGATTCCAGGAAGGGATTTTGGCTGCCGTAGACCCCAAGGCCTCCTTTCTCTTAGTTTTTGATAAAGCTTTTTTATAGCCAGATGTTTCCCTCTTACTAGTTCAGGTGAAATGGAGCAATTTGGCGGGCCATGGAAGGATGAAACATCTAGGGGAACTATTTTTCTTTCCTTCTTTCCCAAATGCTTAGGTGGTGCCTTGCGGTATATTTCAGGAAAAATCTCTGCGTTAAAAAGGTAAGGTTCATTTGAGCATCAACGTTTAGATAGTTTGAATGAGAATTGCTGGTTTATAAAATAATTTTTTAAAGATTAAGTTGTCACGAAAATATAGTTTTCTTCCAATGTTTTGATTTGCAAAATGATCAGTGTGTTAAAAAGTTTTGATTTTTTTAAAAATGGAAAAGTCTTGACAGGCTGATCGATTTCTTTAGGCAGAGCCTTGTTTTCGAGGGAAAGCACTAGCAGCCGTCCCTTGATCCCACTCTGGGCCCGAGGTCTCACACTGCGAAGGCTGCCTTCGTTCGGCAAGCAAGCATCACGTTAGAGAGTTTGCATGCTGAGCGTTGCCAGGGCTTGGAAAAGAGATTGCCAGCGAGGGCTCGGCTCCCCCCTCCCCCCCACTACCTTCTGCCAACTTGGCCTAATCGAACTTCATTAGAATCTTTCGCAGGGCGTGAAATTGCTCTATTAGCCGCTAATGTTAGACACCAGTTATTCTGATGGCAGTTATTAGAAAACAAAGTTATTTTGGCTTGCAAAATGTGGGCCTTGGTTGGGTCGTTCGGAGAATGCTTACAACACGGCAAGCTAATTCTAACTAAACCGTGGCTCTAATTGGTGATTAAGCTTAGCTAGCGAAGGCCCCTCCCGCTGCGGCGCTGGCTGCACGGCATTCGCAGGAGCAGCGGAAGTGAAGCCTACGAGATGCTTTAGCCCCCCCGGGGAGGGGGACGATGGGGCTTGTAATTCCACCGTCCTGCAGTGGAGATGCTTCTGGGAAAAGACAGGGGGCAAAGTTGCCACCCCTCTCCCAGGCTGCAAACTTCCAGGTCCTTGGGGGGAAAACAAAAGCCATACCTCCCTCCCTCCGGCTGTGCCTGATGGAGTCTGCGCACTTAGTTATTGCATAGCAATTCCCAGACCACTGATTTTTAGGAGTCTCTTTCTTGGCAGAGTGCCCACTTTGCGGATTCTACTGACCAACACTAAAGTTCCACGCAGCACCAAGGTCCTGGTTGCGGGGGTTAAAGCCAAGCTCCTGAAGGTACTTCGTCTGCTTCCTCTCCGAGGCTTTGTGACTGCCCAGAATTTATAGTTGGAGATACGTCAAAATTCACCAAGGGGTTGGAGAGAACGATTCGGAGGGGGGCTGTATGAGAGAAGCCTAGCCGGGCGGAGTGCCAGGAAGCAGGAGACGGCTGCCCTGTTTCTGGGTGTTTGAGATGGGCGCCAAGAGTCCCTTAAACAGCATTGCTTGGGTCTCTGACCCTTGACCTTTGGGACATCATTTTAGCCAAATATTCTTTGCAGCTCTGCCTAAAGATGCCATTCACGAGGGCTCGCTAACTTTAACAGAAGCGGGAAAAGTAAACCTTATAACTGCCAAGATTGCTTAAATAAGATTTCAGATTTTTTAATGCTTTTTATTTTTGCTCTTCCTCCCTCTCTCTCTCTTTCTGCCCTATCCTTCTTCCTCCTGCAGTTTCCCACTGTCATGGAGCCGATGCTCACTTCCATAGGCGCAATTTCTCGGGAGTGTGAAGGAATTCTTGAGGCAATGACTGGAGAGCCATCGCAGGAAGACTACTCCAGGCTGGAGGTAAGCCCTTATCTTCCTTCCTTCCTTAGTCCTCATACCATGAGGACTAGGAGCCCGCTTTTAAAACTGAAAAACCAGCTTGGCTCATTTCTGTCCGGAGCACGTTCCCAGCTTGTGCTCCATGTTTCTCCTCTGTGAGTGTCGCTGCTTTTTCCTCTCAGGATTTGGTGGACATCAACCAGCACCTCCTCAACGGCATCGGGGTCGGCCACGCCCTGCTGGACCGCGTCTGCGAGGTCACTTCCTGCCATGGACTGCACAGCAAACTGACCGGGGCTGGGGGAGGCGGCTGCGCCATCACTTTGCTGCGACCAGGTGAGTCTTAACTGGGCAGCCGTTGCCTTCCTTTGCACGGGTTGCCTCTTGGATTCTCTGTAAGTTGCGAGTTGGTTGAGTTCACAATCAAGTGTGTAAGTGAAAGAGCCCTACAGGTGTGTTGCAGTGCAGCTGTTGGGGGCATATTGGCTTTCAAAGGCTTATGGGCCTCCTTTGGTGGTACTTCTCGACTCTGGCATCTTTAAGACCGATGGACTTCAATTCCCAGCATTCCCCAGGCAGCATAGCTGGCTGGGGAATGCTGGGAGTTGAAGTCCACAGGTCTTAAAGTTGTCAAGGTTGAGAAACACTTCTTTAGGGTTTACCTTAAGGGCCACACTTAAGGTAACCGTGAACCATTCTTAAATTCTACTTAAATGCTTCCGAGGTATCGCTCAGAGCACCTTCCTGCACATTATTTCTTAAAGGTGCCTCTCTGGGTGGCTGTGGCCATTTGTGTGTGAGCCCACGTTCCCATCCTCTCCGGCCTGCATTTGTGGCTCCTCAGCTCCATTTCCTTCGGCTGCAGATTCTGAGCGCCAAACCTGCTAAGCTGCTTTGGGCGCTGGGGAGGGCTTGGGGCGGGTGAGCAGCTTGGTGGTCGCGCCTGCCGTCTTGAGTGTCTAACCGGGGAGCACTGTCTCTTGGCAGGCACCGCTCCTTCGGCGGTGGAAGATGCCATCCGAGACCTGACCCAGTGCGGGTTTGAGTGCTGGGAGACGGTCATCGGGGCGCCTGGTGTAAGCGCTCACGCCTTGCCGTGCCTGAGAGCGGAAGTGCAGAAGGCGTTGCAGGGCAGCTGACGGGGGCCGTGAAAAGCGACTCTTCCTCCACCTGGGACCAGCCCTGACTCGGACTGGACGTCCAGGCCACGCCCAAGGCAGCCCAGCGGGACTTGGTCAGTCAGGCGGGGAAGGGCGCAGGTCTACTCAGCGGGAGTGGGAGGACAGGGAGCTGGGTCTTCCTAGCCACTGTGGACACGGCTCTACTGCTAACGGGGGTTTTGGGGGTACGCTAGTGTAAATCCTTCCTTGCACCTTTTGCACACTGCCAGGTCACAGGCCCTAAAAATGCCAGGCGGGGGGGGAGTTGCTCCCTCCCCTGACAGCCCATCTCCTGAATTCACTCCTTTGTGGCTCCTCTTATCCCCCCCCCCCCCCCCCCAACCGACACAGCCTGGCAAAGTCGCTCTGGGAATGGGAGCTATTAACTGTCTCTGCTGATCTGCCTCTTAATTTTCAATGCTTCCTGGGGAATATTCCAAGCCCGGCCGTGACTGCCTTCCTTGGCCTGTGCTTGGGGGGTGGGGGGTGGAGGTGGGTCAGGGTCCCTCGTTAATGGGGTGCTGGATGGCTTGAAAGGGAACGAAAAACGGGCCTTTTAAATGCCTTTGTGGCCATTAGGGCCGTTGGTTGTGTTTGGTCAATTCATCAACTCCAGATTTTTGGTGCTACTAGAGAGACCCCCGTTGTGGGCTTCTGAATAAAGGCTGGGGTCAAAGGTGGCTCTTCTGGCTTTTGTGTCAGGGCTTCCTTCAGTCCTGGGCTGAGGGGAGGGGTGGGGGGCGCTTCTTCCCAGCAAGAGCCACTGTTGGGGTCTGAGGGGCGCTTGGCCTGGACTGGCAGCTGGGTTGAGCGAGATTTCTCAGCGGGCGCAGACACTTTTCTGAACAGCAGAGGGCAGCAGAGACCCACTTACGGAGGAGTTGTGGGCGGTGCAGCTGGGAGGTGCTCTTGGTCTTGCAAAGGGGGGCCAGGATCTCTGGCTGGCTGGCTGGGAGGGGGCTCCACTGGTTCTCTTGGGATGCCTGCACCCCTGGCGGGGGACTGTTCTTGCCGCTCTTCGGGGGGGGCGGGGGGGGGGGCGGGGGGGGGGGGGCGTGTGGGGGGGGGGGGAGGGGGTTGTGGGGGGGGGGGGGGGCATCTTCTTGGAGCGTAGACACACACACACAGCCCATATTGGCAAAGTGGGAGGGGAGCCCATTGCCTGCAGAGGCCTCCAGAGAGATTTCTGGGAATTCAGGGGCTGCCCCACTTCGCATCCTCCAGTTATTCATCCTGGTGGTTATCCTTGGATTTCACCTTTTGCTGCCCCCCCCCCTTGCCCCCCGCAGCCTTTGAGAAGGAGGGGGCAGCCCTTGAAGAAACGAAGGGAAGTTAAAGAAAACGCTGCTTTGATGGGAGGTATAAATGTAGCCACGTTGGGTCTAGAATTTAAAATGGGTTTTGTTGTTCTGCCGGGGGGTGCTACCCCCCCCCCCCAAGATGATGGGAGGGGGAATCTTGCACCCTGGGTCATCTCTCTGGCCCTACTTTGAGAAACGGGCCCTCCCCTGTTTGGGGGTCTGGAGAACTGTCCCTGGAGAGTAACCGGAGGGTCATCGCAGGACAATAGCCCCCAAGGCAGCCTGCCCCCCCCTCGCCCCCTCTTTGCCTTGGGGGTGGGGCTCCTTCCTTTGCTTCCAGGCCTCTCTGGTCCAAGATGCAGGTGAAGGATCAGGCTGGTAATGGGGCTAATTTTTCTCCAGTGTCCCTTTTCACCTGATGAGCTTTGCGGAGGGAAGACTGACCATTCCCCCCCCCCCCCCCCGTTGGCTCCTAATGGCCAGGGGGGCGGAAGAGCGAAAGGAGCGTGAAGGGGCAGCCGACAGCCAGCCTCCCCTCCAGGCAGTGCCAGGCCAGGTGTGGCAGCCAGGTGTGTGCAGGCCAGGTGTGTGCAGGGATGCGGATGCGAGAGACCTGAAAGCTCCTGGAGGCTGTTTCGTGTTGGGAGAGGGGCCCAACTGAGGAAAACCCTGGTGGGGGGCTTAAGGGGGGGCAGGTTATCCAGAGAATCGAGTGCCGGACTTTGCCCCCACACCCTGCCCTGAGGCCAGACCTAGAAAACGGAGAGACACGGCTGAGCCGGTGAGCCTCCTGAAAGTTCGTCCCGCTGGCCTCTCCCCGGAGCCGGTGGATCTTGTGAACCCGGGAGGCGCCCCAAGGGCCGCAGCCTCCCAGCTCTGCTTTCCTTCCCGTGAAGGGCGAGGATGGCCAGGCCATTGGGCAGCTGGAAAGAGGAGCCAGAGCGTTGCCGGTGACCGGGAGGCCATTTATACCTTTCCCAATCATTTGCTACTTTAAAAATGCCTAACCTGCCTTTCGGTTTAAAGCTAATTTTCAGCGATGTGCCAATAAAAACATCAAAATTGTAAAAAATAAAAGAATACTAAACATTGAGCCTGTAGCACCGAATAATTGAGCAACAGGCTGGTAACTAGAGCTGTATTAAAAATCCCTCCCTACGACCAGGCTGGGGAACTAACCCTGTTCTTACATAACCCCTGAAACCATGCTCCACTGCCAAGAGGATTGGGGGTGGGGCAATCTTTCCCCATTGCTGGATGGGGGAGGGGGGCATCCCATCTGGTCGGACCCTCTGAGCCGTTTTCTCTGTCCTGGTGGGACTCAGCCAGCACGGGGGGGGGGGGGGGGCTTCTGCCTCCCCCCGGAGAGGCAGGTGCAGGAGAGCCGGGCTGGGTGGCGCAGATGGCCTTACGCTGAATGTCAGCAGTGGCTGCTTTGAATGGATGCCCGGGAGACAAAGCCGTTGGGGGAAATAAGAGGGGAAAAGGGCTCAGGACAGAAAACGTCCAGGCGGGGACTGAAAGGCAGCTCTCGCTCCCAAGCTCCGAGGGAGGCCAGCGGGGATTGTGTGGCCCAAAGCCCCCTCCCAAGCGTCCTGTCGGTTTGAGCTCCCCTTCTTAATCCTGCTGGTTTTTTTGGGGGGGGGGGGGGGAGAAGAACGGCCCTATCGGTGGAAAACAATGTCTGAGTTGACACTTTGTGCCAAGCCATAACTGCCCAACTTTGAGGACACCCTTAAGCCACGATTTACAAGCCGCAGTGGCTGCTGCGCTCTGAGCCGAAGCCCACCCAGCTAGTTAGGGCTCAGCCTGGAGAACTGGAAGGGAGGTGGTTGACTCCCCACCCCACCCAAAGCCCAAGTGGGGGATGGTTCCCAGGGTGGGAGGAGCCGCAACTGTGAAGGGTGTGAAATGGTGGCCGGAGCCAAGTTGAGGGAGACCAGATGGAGAGCAAGGTGCCCTGTGAAGCAGCTGGCCGGGGTCCTGGAAGAAGGCTCCCTATGTAACGCCTTGCCCCACTGACTTCCTGGCGTATCGGAGAAGGTTCTTCATCCCACCCTGTGACCCACTTCGGACGTCTCCCTGGTCAAGAGCGTTTCCTTCAAGAGCTACAGCCCTGGGGGAGGGGAAAGGCCGCATTGCAGGATCCAAGCCTCTCTCAGGTGCAGCCCCTGGGCCTGGGAAGCCCACCCTCCGTTCCAGGTGGGCCACCAAGGTGACCTCGAGGCTCTCTTCGGGGGAAGGAAGCTGCGTGGGCCAGCTGTTGTCCATCAGGGTCCTGCCAAGGGGCCTGGGGGTCTCGGAAGAGCAGAATTGGGTGCCGGTGATGGTTGAGGGTGTGGAAATATCTGCTGGGAGGGGGCTGTCAATTTCTGCATCTTTTTGACAAGAGGGGGCGCTTCAGACAGACCCTCACTCCTCAGTTGGGGGAGGGGGTGAGACAGGGCAGGTGGGCTGGGGCTTCCTTCGCCCAGCGTGGAAGGGCACCCGTGGCAGCCTGTTACTCCGTGATGGATTTAAGGCATGAATTCCACCACCCCCCCGGGAGCCCCCCATGGCACTGTGAAGGTTTTGAAAGTTAAGTATTACTGTTGGCTTTGTTGTTGCCGAACTACGACAGACAAATTGAGAACTAGTTGTCAAAATGTCAGTGCACAACAAATCAACATTCAAAATGAGTCTCGGTGCAATGTGGTGTATAATTAAAAAAAAATCCTTTTTAGAAATTTCGGCAAGCATTGGCTTGGCTTTATATTTGTCTGTGTGATTAATAAAGGCAGCTAATTTTCAGACTTTAAAAACAGCTAGAAAATAGCTCCTAATTACATATTAGGCTCCGATCGTCCCCCGCTGTGCTCGGCTGGTATTGGTGGGCCAGGAATTTTGGCAGGGGCTTAATTACATTCTGAGAGCTTCATCTAATTTTAGTTAAATGTAATGTAATCAGCAGCAGATGTCTTGAAATAAAATATGAATTATGAATATATGAAGAAATTCCTTTAAATAATTCTTTAAAAAATAATTTGCCATTGAGTTTTCCCCAAAGCGGCACCGAGCTCGGTAGGAACAGGCTGGAGGCTAGGAAATGGGGTTCAATTATGAGGGGGGATGGGGAGCGGGGGGGGGGGTTTCAGGGTTGAGGGGGAGGCAGGGGGAGCAAGCCAGCAGCACAAGCGGACAGACGTTTCCGGTGGGGCATCCAAGGGAGATTAAATGTCGCTGTGCCGCCAGGTCAGCTGGATTTCAACACAGGTCACATTTCCCTCCGCAAAGCAGGGTTGCTGAGTTTGCATTCCGTGCGATGCGTCTTCGGCTTTATTGAGTTTCCCGAGCAATTTGGGGGTCCTGCCACTCCTGAGGGAGCCTCTCTACCTCCTCCTCCTGCAACCCCCTGAGATCAGCTTAAATCTCAGCTTATATTGCATTTTTGTGCTGACGCTGCCAGGATGGTGTGTTTGCATCCCTGGTTTGTGTTTTGTTTGGCCGTCTCTCAGACCCAGTGCCCTGGGTGGGGTCTGGGACAGGAGAGGCTCTCAAGGATCAAACCGTAATGTTAAGGCATCACTCTGCACCAAAAGAGAGAGAGAGAGAGAGAGAGAGAGAGAAGGATTTGCAAATGTGTTTGGAGTGAGGAAGGGAGGGTCCTTTGGGGTGAGTGATGCTAAGAGGTTCCCTGAAGAGTCGTCAAAAATGAGCGCAGGGACGTGGCCAGCCGGTATCCGTGTTGGGGGGTATGGCTGCCCCGTAAGGGAGGAGGGGAGGAGACCTCTGGGGTGAGCCAGCCCTGGGGCCAAGGCTTCCTGCTGGGCCCCCTGTGCCGCCAGCCCTGCCAGTCCCTCATGGGCGGGACCTGGGCTTCCGGGAGGTGCCCACCAGAGCAGGCCGAGGCCTCCAGCCGATGCCGTTCAACCTGGCTTTGCCCTTCCCCTGCCTGGGTTGGCAGCCCCGGCTATTCAATTCATCAAGGGAGTGACAGCTAAAATTCATTTGAAGATGAAGAAAATGCAGGCTAATCCTTTCTGGGAGACATTGATAGACTAGCGGCCGGGAAAGAATTGCACAGCAGTAATGAAATTAGGCTAAAACTGCCGGTGGATAACAGATAATTGCCCTTGTCTGTCATCAGGAATAACATCTCCCCCAATGCAGCCGCACGAGGAGGAGGAGGAGGACGGACACGGAAGGAACGGCAGCGTTGATGTCTCCGCTTCCCCTTCCGCCGCCTTCCGGAAGGCAGGGACTCCCTCTCCACCTTTCCTGGGCGCCTCGGGGTGAGCCGTGGGCTCCTGGCTTTTCAGCTGCACGTGGATCCTTTCCTGGCACATTGCTGACCTCCCCCAAAAGAGGAGCTGAGATGGATCAGGTGGACAGAGGAGGGGAGGGGCTCCTGACCCCAAGGGCAGCACCCCTTGCTCGGGCTCTGTGCCCCTGGGGGAAGCAGGTGGGCCTGGTCTCCTGGCTGGGGAGGATGGGCTGGAAAAGCCAAGCTCTCCTACCGAGAAAAGGAATCTGCTGCTGCACCTGTGCTGGGATCCTTCACCCGCGACCTGCACCACCTGGGCAGGTGATCTGGCAGCCAAAGCGGCCCAGCTGTTCTCGGGATCAAGTTCCCTCTGGAAGCGGAATGACTC